AGGTGCTTAAATAGGGTGCAAACTGTAAATATTAGGGTTTCATCCAGACAGTCCTACTCGCCGAGTCGGGCTCCCGACTCGTCGAGTAGGTCACTTAAAACCCGTGTCCAAAGTCTTGTCTACTCGACGAGTTGGGTCTCCGATTCGCCGAGTCCCAGTGTAAAAACATACAATCTTTAAATTCAAAATACGTACCGGGAACCGGGCGTTACAATATTTCTTGATCAACGGAACATACATGGCTCCACCAAACCCACTATAACTATAACACAACTTGCAAAAGAATATCAAGTTCTAGGCAATGTGAAAACAACTTTTGACATTCTCGCAACTATCTCGTAATCGATAAACAGATGAACAAGGTATTTCGTCTACACTTGACAACAAGGACAAAGAAGTGAGGGAACATCAATGCCCTTTGAAAGTAGATCCGGTCAGGTGACCATCTAGACCAAGATGCCAAAAAATATGTTCACTTTTTAAGGCATATATCTATTACACTTCATTTCCTCAGTCCCACTCGGCAACACGAAGTCTTCAATCTAAGTCTCCCTCGCCTTGAAATCATCATCACTATTAGAATCCCCCCTCCCCCCATCCAGACTATCATATAGAATAAAATCAGTCACGAGTCTAATTAATGCATTAAGTTGATCATGTTCTAGACCAAACCCGAACCTCCCTACACTACTCCCGCATCTAACCAACCTCGCCCCAACGATCTTCTAAACACACTCCTTATTGTTATCGAACCAAAATAAAGTAGGAAACCATACACACAAAAGAATATCTATGAATACATTGATATAGTTTATGCGATAATATATTTCTATATTGTATGTTTTGATTCTTTAACTAGAAATTCCCTACTCTTTGCTTCACACGGAATGCATGTGAGGTTTTGCTTATTATGTTCTAGTCACACAAAATGAAAGTACTAATATTCATCATTTTATCGTGTGTGTGCACGATTTTCGAGGGGACTAAACTTTCCAACATATGAAAGTCTAGAAACCAAACCTACAAACATGACAATATACAAAAGTTGAAGGGGGTGGAAATTATCGTTGTTCAAAGTTAAGGGGGGTGAAAGTGACATTTCACAAAGTAAAGGGGTGGAAAGTGCTATTCTACAAAATAAGGGGATGAATTGTCAATATACAAAAGTCTAGAGACCAAATATGCCATTATAAAGATTTCATGGCCAAAGTATAAATAAAAAAGTAGATTTATGGCCAAAGTGTGAAATAAAAAACTTTTATGGTTCAATTATAAAAAACAAAAGTCTATTATTCATAAGTAGGTTGGTTTTTATTATATATATATATATATATATATATATATATATATATATATATATATATATATATATATATATATAGGGAAGGGTTATATGGAAAACAAAAACACCCTAAAAAAACCCTAAAAATCATAAAAATGCATAAAAAAAATACTTAGAAATCACAAAACTTTTTTTTGACTTTAAATATGAAAAAATCGCGGCTTTTTCTTCAAATTCGCTGAAAAAAAATAAAAAATCGATTTTTTTTTTGTGTTTTTCTTCAAAAAATTTTTTAGCGAATTTGAAGAAAAAGCTGCGATTTTTTCATTTATAAAGTCAAAAAAAAATTTTGTGATCTCTAAGTATTTTTTTTTTATGATTTTTAGGGTTTTTTTGTTTTCCATAGAACCTAAACCTATATATATATATATATATATATATATATATATATATATATGGGAAAAGTGAATATACATTACAGCCCCACCTAAGCTTAGGTACTAAACCTCATGAAAATACGTTGTTTTACTATATAAAGATTACGATTAGGTTACCACTTGAAGTTGTAGTTTCATAATGTACACAATAGTTTTGATAAGAAAGCAAGAACGTTGATTATATTCCTTCTTCGTGACGATGGAAAACAATATTGTTCACTAGGGTGAAGTAAAAACGATAATGAAGGAAAAAAAAAACAATGATGGTAAAACGATAATGGAGGGAAGAAATGTTATTAGGGATGATATATTACCAAGTGAAAACCAAATCGAGTATAACTACTAAGTTAAAACGATATATTTTAGAGGTTTAGTACCTAAGCTTAGGTGGGGCTGTAATGTATATTCTTTATCCCCTATATATATATATATATATATATATATATATATATATATATATATATATATATATATATATATATATATATGTTTGGGAACTTGGACTAATGATCCTTTCAAATTTGAAGTTCAAGTTCATTTATTTTTTTTTTTTTGTGAATTTTGAATGCATTAACGTTGGAAATTTGGACTTGTAATTAATTTTTGCTCTAAATTTTGATTTAGATCAAATCTACAATCATGATATTGCAAAATAAAAAAGTTTTTAGGTAAAATCTCAATCTTCGTAACCTTAATTTAAAAGGTATTGCTTTATTAATATGAATAGAAGTTGACATAAGAAGAAATTATGCATTTAAACGTTTGACATATGTATGCCTTCTAGAAGATTGATTAGTAGGTGACCACTCCTACGTGTGTTTGCTTGATTAAATCTCTTTAAAATTAACAACAGCTCTAAATTGAATTCTAAAGAATGTTTTGTCTAATATTGTATATTTATGTTATATATAAAATTGTATTTTAAACATAAATGGTCTAGTGATTAATCATGATTAATGAATCTTTTACTTTTACAAAACAAACTAATTAATAGCTCTTTAAAACACTATTAATAATATAAATTTTACTTTCATGAAAAGATTGCAGTTGTAATTCTTTATACTCAGTCATGAGTTGCTAATCAAATTTGAGTAGGGGTGTATTTTATTTTGGAACTCACTCAACGACTGTCATGTATAACATGTACTACATACTTTCATGTATAATATGTACTATATAATATAGTTAAGGTATCATGTATAACATGTACTACATACTTTCATATATAATTGTACTATATAATATACTTAACGTATCCACAGTATGAGTTTTTTGAATAATCTTTTTAAACCAAAAGCTCTTAAATTTGAAAAAAGTGGGCGGATGAACTTTTTCAAATAGCTTGTTAGTTAACAAGCTCTTGTCGTGAGTCTCTTACTTAGAGATAAAATGAGTATTTTCATTTATTGTTTTTTTTAGGAAAAAAAAAAGACTCGTATAGTGTATGCGTTAGTCTTTCTAAATTTTTTCTAATTTTCACATTAATAATACATGAGTGCCTATCAAAAAAACATACCAGTCCAATTGAATGAATCATTTCATTCTTTCTCCAATTTCTTAGTACAATAGAGAATACTAGCTTGAGGACCAACGTACGTTTGTAGTTGGTAATCATACAAATAAAGTTTTAACTTTCAAGACTTGCATTTGGACATTCATGATCGTGAACATGACTTGAGTACTACTAATAATTTACAAAATTTGCTTTAGAGTGCAAAAAATTTATGAAGATAATTAAATATATAGAGCGGGTAAAGTTTTTTAGATGAAAATTATTTAAGTTGTTATTTTCTTCTAGAAGATTTTAAACACCAACCCATCATTAATGTTATGTAAATCCTAACAAATGTGTTTGACTGGTTCTACGTTAATCTTTGTGGGGTTGGATTGATATGTTGACTACTTCCATTCCATGTCAAATCTTAATTAAAACAATGTTTCTTGAATATATATATATATATATATATATATATATATATATATATATATAATAAAAATGGTTGTATCTCTTATAACAAATGTCTTAATGTTGTTTCGTATTTATCTTGAACTATATAAATTTGATTACCATATTGATCAAATAACACATCAAACTCTTTCTTTATTATATAGGTGTGTGTGGCAAAACTAATTGATAACTGATAGTTGGATGTTGTAGCTTTTATTTTTATATGAATGTTTGGCAAAAAAAGCTTTTAAAACATATAAATTACATAAAACCACATTTTTATAATATATAAAATATAAACATAATTAAAAAAAATGTAATTATGTCAATTTGCAAAAATATGAAAGAGCCTTTTGTTACACGCTATTTGAAGTAGCTTTTAGATTTGAAGCTAAAAACTAGAAACTCCTATTGTTGAAGGAAACTTTTTTCCTTTTTAGTTTTCTCTTGAAAATTAAATGCTAGAAACTCCAAAATAATTGCGTTGTAATTAATCATCCAACTATTTCTCTTCTTTCTTTGTCCCACTTTGTTATAAAAAAATATCCAAGGATCACCCAATCCAACTAATTGCAGATTGTTTGCATATTCGTTGACCCAACATTTGGAAAAATGAGAGCTTCTAATTGGTTGTTGACCAAGAGGCTTGGCTGTAGGTTCGATGGATGCCAATGATTAATTAGTACATAAAGGAATCCAACTTCCATTCCATCATGCACATCCTTACCCTCATGATTGGTTTGACGGATTCCATCCCACTATACAAAGGAATTCAACTTTTATTTACAATTTACAAGTCAACCTTTGTTTCATAAATTATTTACTGAAAAATTAGACCTTACAAAAATAATTACAATCCCTAGAAAAGTGGAACGGCATTGAATTTAATCCTACCTCTTGCAAAAATAAAACCAAACCTCATTTGTAATTTTATAAATATGGATTTAAAACTAAGACTATAAACCCTTTCAAAACAAAACTCATACAATAACTATATATGTTTTCAAATCCACTGTTTATGCTCACGAATGTGCAATGTTCAATCCTACTTATAAATGATCAACTTGTGTGTTTAAAAACCAAGTTTTAATCTTCTAAATCCTCATTTTGAATGTTATGGAAGAGTAACCTATAAATGCCCTTCATTTCATTTTCAAAGTCATCGATTTGTTTCAATTTGTGTATTCTAAAAAGGGATAATTTTATTGTTTGAAGTCTTATAGGCTCTTTGTTAATCAGTCAGATTCCTGTTTTGAACATATTGTTGAATACACATTCAACTCAAAGAAAAAATAGCTAACCAAAACCGATAAAATACATAAGATATTTCATTTTCTCGATTGATAAAAATCTTGAAAGGGTACAACTAGTAACCAACATGACCTTGACCAAAGTCAAAATGTTCACATTCATCACCACCCTCATATTTGACATACATTTCTCTTTGTTTCTTCTATCTTTTTTAAAACTTCAATTCCTTTTTTTTCTTGTCATTATTGTCTCTATTTCGATTTTACATCTCAACATAACATTAACACCACCAACATCTTTACATAATTCCAACTTTTTTTGTTCAATTGGATTTTCTCAGTTTTTCGGGCAGCTTTGGTCAGCAAACAGTTCGACCATAACACATGGATGCAATGTAGAGGTTTTTTGACCATTTTTCCTGCAAAATAAACACACAATCATTACTCGAATGATGAGAAAATATATAAGAAAAGATTTGATTTTTTTTTTTTTTTTTACCTTGACATGAGTGCTAGGGAAGGCAGATGTCCTTAAAGTTTCTTGAGTCTCATCCATCATTTTACGCCTTGGAATACTCAAAATAAAAGCAGCTTGATCAGGTGTGGCAGCCATAGATGTTATCCTGTACCCACTTTCCCATCTACGGTGTATTCCTTCACTTGGGTAAAGAAAATCAAGCTCCACAACCTATATTTTTATTAATTTAATCTTATCATCATTATCTCTCAATAATTCATAACATTAATCACCAAAATTACAATTACCTGTTCAGAGAATCCTGCGTTTCTTGACATGACAACACCCCAACGACTGCCAGCTGTCGTCATGGAAGTCACATGGAATCCTTCTTTCCATTTTTTGCTAATCCATTTAAATGGAAACGATTCACTCACTTTGTATGATTGTTGAGTGTATGGCGTTCCTAAAAAAAAATTATTAAAACTATTTTATTTTCTTTTTGATAAAATTAAAATCATGATAATTAAAATAGAAAAAAAAAGATTTATTTAACCTTTAGACATGACAACCAATGAGCTTCCATTAGCAGCACCAGCTATTGAACTGATGTAAAAATTCTTCTCCCACTGTTCCATAATCCAGTCCTGAAGAATAAGGTTAATAGAAAACTGTGTTAATAATGAAATGGAAGAAATACATAAAATATGAAAATGACTAAAATAACCTTGTGAAGAAAGACGGGAGAAACTTCATAAACTTGGGAACAGAATCCTGTTCCTGCATCCATAATTAAGGCCCAAAGATTTGAGGCTGAAGCCACACAGCTGATGTATAGACCATCTTCATTACCCTTATCCACATGTTGAACAAGTCTCGCATCAGCTACATTATAGTGATATCTGCAAATCAAATTAAAATTAAATCAATTATCATTTATTTTTTTTTGTTATTTTAAAATGAAAAAAGAAAAACAAATTCATACCTTTGTTTCATTGGGCGACGTGCATTGTAAACAGAAATCCATTGTGTAGCAGGACTACCTAATCTTACTTTCTTTTTTGGTTGTTCATCTTCTTCTAAATTAATAAGCAATCTTCCCCTTTTTTGTCCCACCTGATAAAAAAACAAAATATAAAATATAAAAAACCACTTTTTTTTTAAAAAAAAAAAAAAAAGAAATTTGTGTACCTTGAGTGCCCCATCGATTCTGATTGGTCTTAGTGATGTAACGGGTTCAATAAGGCTCTCAAATAAAGAAATTAATTTAGAATAATTTGGCTCTTCATCAAATTTCATATTTGTAACAGCTTCAAGAAAATGTTTAAATGGTGCAGGACAAAAACAACACATCAACTCAGGTGATGTTGCCATTTTCTTTTTACAAACAAGAAAACTCTTATTGTCTCCCTGTAATATAAAATAAACTTAATGTATTAATGTTAGAAAAAAACAAATTTAGAGTGAAAAGACGAAATTGACCTACCTGGTAGCCTTGCCATGGTAACCTTCCTTTAATGAGAAATATTAATGTGTATGCAAGTGACTCAAGGTCATCTCTTCTACTTCCTGTTCGACCTAAATGTGCATGCACACTTGCATATCTTATTGTCCCCCTAACAAAACATATTTTATCCCAAATTTTACATTAAACTGATGTTATAAATAAACTTTTAAAATAATTTTATATTCACAAACCTAAATATATCTGGTCGTTGATCATACTCAACGTGTTGACTAGAAGTTGAATCTTTCCATTTTGATGCTAAAGAAGCAACAAAAAAACGTGTTAATGATACTTCAACATAATTAATGTAAAGGGGAATCATTAAATAAAGTTAAAAGCATATACCTAAACCAAGGTCGATAAGATATAGTTTCTTTTCATCCACTGTTCCTGGTTGACCAAGTAAGAAGTTTTCTGGCTTCACATCTCCATGAACAAACCTTTATAATATATAAAAAAGACCTCAATGCATTAAGGCAACTAAGAGTGTCATTAAATGTGATTGTTCAAGTTTAGATATGACTTTGACTTACCCTTTTTGAGTGAAGCTTTTCAAGAATTGATATTGACTCAACAGCAATGCAAGCCACCATACTTGGTGACATCCTGAATAAAATAAGTAATTAGTAAATAAATATACATTTTTTTCATTTATGTATGTAAGAAGTATGTATGTAAAGTGAAGACTATTATCTTACGATTGGCCTAAAGAATTCCAAACATCCCAAAGACTTGGTCCAAGAATGTCCATGACCTAAAAAAGATTCATAAATTCTCATAAAGATAGAATTTTTATACCAAAAATGAAAAAAGTATGACAAATTTCAAAGTCAAAACTCACCAGAATGTAAAAGTCACCTTGTCGCCCCTTGTAGTGAACCCATGGAATCCCATAACATCCATTCAGTGAGCTTTTTTTTTGTATTAAAATGTGTCAATGTATTAGATCTCAACTCACAAGGTTAAGCATGGAATTATGTAAATGTTTTGGAAAAGATATGATATGTACCTGTAAACTTGCCACTCATAAGGAGGACCATAGTTGCAACCTTTACTATTACGATGCTCAAACTTTAATGCTACCTATAAAAGTAAAACAAAAAAGGATCAAAATTGTAACACAAAGAACTAGTTATTATAAAAGAAAAAAAAGACCTTCATCTATCATTTATTGTTTCAACATGTACCTCAACTGCATCTGGCCCTGTTCTTTCTGTTCCACCACTTAACCTCCTCCCAACATAAACCTGTCCAAAACCACCTTTCCCCAACTTTCTTTCCACCTTATATATAGGAGAATTACCCACTTGTACCTTCATCATAACAAAAACAACACACATTATGAGTTTTCTAAAGGGGGAAAGTTAATCTCAAAGAAAGAGAAAAAAGAAATACCCTTTCGGGAACAGGAGTTGAGTTGCCTTCTTCTTCAACACCCATAACTTTATCACCACCACCACTTCCACCTTCCATGGCAATATCTTTATCTGCAACTGTGTCTAGTCTAATAGGAGCTTCAGGGATAATATCACAAGGAGGTTCAGGGTCCAAATCAATCAACCGAACACCTCTACCTCTACCACCAACAGTTGGCCTCACTGGTAATGCCGCTACAGGCCCTTTGGCTACACCTGCAGCATCACCACCTCTTCCCCTTCCACCACCACCACCAGTAGTCTTTCTTCTAGGTCTGGTTTGGGTTGGTGGGGCGGTGTTTTCTGCTTGATTGATTGGTTGAGTGGCAGGCTGAAGATCACCGAGCCGTTTTGATCTCCTTGCTCCACTTCGAAGTTGTGGCATCGTCACCCATGCAAATTAGATCCAAATCATAACCCTAGTGTTGCGTTTTTAAGCCTTCAATTAGCTACATAAATGAAATAAAACTGATGTGAAAAGATGAACAGATTGAAAAATGAAAACAATGTCGCTAGTGGAAACAGTATCATTTGAATCGGATGAACAAATTGCAACAATGAGAGTGAGAATTTGCTAAATCGGAAAGTGATATATGTCGGATTTATACTATTTTTAGCAAAAGGACTTGTAGATTATCACGAGGATTCTACATTCTGCTACAAGTTTGATTCTTTTGGAAAGAAAATATCTCCAAAAGATTGTAATCCAACGGCATACAGCGTATAAATCCGTCTGACTAAAGAATCATTTTGAATCCAATTGAATTTACTACATAAACGCATAGAAACATAAGCAAATCCCTGACGAAAACAGTCTGTATCGAATTTGAATGAGAATCGGAGAGAAAATCATTGACGAATCAAACCGTCAGATTACGTCGTAGCTCATGAGAACTACTTTATCCGATCATCGAAAATCTTATGAACTCAAAACATTATCCGTATGTTTAAAATTAATTAAAGCGAAAGTATTTCAAATAATAATTAAATAATCAAAAGGCAGATCGACCGCACCTCAAGGACTGCAAAATCAAGATGATCGGATCCAAATGCTTGATCAATCGGCGAATTTCACATGAAAACCTAACTTTTATAACTCGATCGGCTGTCAGATCCTTCCAGTAAACTCCATGATAACAAAAAAACAATATCGCCCTGTGTACCTCTTCGTTTTACCTTATCTGATAAAAATTGAGAGAAATTCAAACTGTTCTGCCACAAAAATGAAAACTTTTTGTTAGTTTAGGGATTCAGGAATGAGAAGAACAGATCAAAGTGATGATCAATTGAGGGAAATGAGATTTGAAACGAAAAATCGTACGAATTGCGATGGGATTGTGTGATTCTTGTTGCGGCTATCGGTGTGTAATGTGTTTGTTTCTCTCTCTGAAAGTATTGCTCTTGCGGTCTTGCCCTGGTGTCCGAGGCCTTTTATATATATATATTAAATAAATAAATGAAAATTAAAATAATTATTTATTTCTTTTTCGGTTTTAGTGTTTCTTTTTCATGAAAATGCAAAAGGGGAAAGTAAAGAATGTGAAGCATGCGACATGTGGCCTTCGATACGACCAATTATTATTCTTATTTTTTCTAGTCCAAAATGGAGTATTATTATTTTGAGAATTCAAAATTTTCAAAAATTCAAGAACAAAAAATAATCATTAGATAAAACTGTTTAATGGCTTAAATCAAAAATACTATATTTGTAATTTTGAACTAAATTAATCATAATCATATCTTTGGTTTTCATAAAGAAAAGCAAATTAAATACAAAAATAAATAATCCTTACAATTCAACTAAACAAATTTAATGCCAAAATGAAAATCTCTCTCTCTCTCTCTCTCTATATATATATATATATATATATATATATATATATATATATATATATATATATATATATATATGTGTGTGTGTTCGTCTTCCTTGCCGCTTTCCTCTCCATCTGCTACCCTCCAACCTTCCTCTTCTCTTCGCGTTTTACCATCAATTCTTCGGTGATGTTGCTGAACAAACAATTAATTCGATGAAAAACGTAGGAAAGGTTTTTACTCGTTAGGTCAAAAATGATTTTTGTATTTATTGTTACTCAACCGAATATGGTTCGAAATATTCAAACTTGTTCATTTATGTTTTTGGGTTGAATTACGAACTTTTTTGTGATTTTTGAAATTATTTGTGAATTTCAAACTAATTATTCATCTCAGATATATTTTGAAATGATATAGCATGATATAGAAAAGAGAAGATAAAAAAACTCAATCTTTTACACTAAAATCAAAATTTCGAAAAAAATATCTAGGGATGAGAGAAAAATAAAAAAAACATTTCGAAAATGAAAAAAAAAATTATTAAAAATCCAAATTTTATAAACATTATCATAAGTATTAGCAAATTATAAACATGTATGTACAATTGAAATAGTCTTAGAGTCAAAAAGTCAGCATATACTTAGTTTAGAGTTAGGAGTACTTATCTCTAGTTTCCGTTCTAGTTTACTGTATAAATACATGTATTTACATGATATCAATACGAAAACAATTCACACTTCATTATATGGTATCGGAGCGTACCTTATCTTGTTTCTCGTTCCATGGCGACAGGAACCCCTCATCTTCTTCACATGGTAGCCATCACCGCCTCCACAATCAACTTTAAAATCCCTTCGATTATTGTTAAGCTTGACCGTGAGAACTACTCTTTATGGCGCACAACCATTGTCGCGGCTCTTGAAACCTTCGATTTGGATGATTTCGTTTTCGATCCTACTCCACATCCGACCACCATCATCGTTCCAGCCTCGAAGGAACCCCTGCCACCATCGATTCTCCGACAATTCCAAGCACTCCGGATACCACCTCTCCTAACCCCGACTTCACTATGAGGAAGAAGCGCGATCGCTTTGTTCTCTTGTGGCTTCGATCCACCTTGTCAGAAAAATCCCTCACTATTGTTACTCGATGTAATATTTCGCAAATGGCCTGACAAGCCATGGAGAAAACATTTCAAGCCATGGAGAAAACATTTCAAGCCCAAACTAGGGCATGTCGAATGCAGCTAAAAGCCCAACTCTAATCCTTTTCCAAAGGGTCCATGACCATGATTAAATACATCGAACGGAAACGATCGATAGCTAAGACTCTCATTGAAAATCTTCACCATGTAGCCGATGAAGATCTTATTGGCTATCTCCTAAATGGGTTAGATTCGTTATATGGGGCTTTTACAACCGCTTTTATGATAAAGATAAAAGTTCTCTCTGTCGATGATCTTACAGGTCTATTACTTCAAGAAGAAGCACGAATCAACATGACTATCTTAGACAAGCCTCTTTTCAGTCCACATTTATTGCTCTCATTGTCAATCACTCCAACAATCGTCCTAATACTAATTTCAATGGGCCAACTTCGGCGTCTTCATCTGCTCCTCGTAATACCGATCCTCGTCGTAAGAGACCGTTTTGTCAAATCTGCAACAAACAAGGTCATAAAGCCATCGATTGTTGGCAAAGGGGAAATCAGACGAATTTTCCTTCTTGCCGACCTAATCCCATAAGTCAACCCTGCATGCCCGTATGACTCAACATCACAATCATTCTATTGTGTTTGACCCTTCATGGTATTTTGACCCATGAGCTACAGATCATGACTCTTCTGACATTCCAAACTCAACATAGCAGATGAATACAAGGGTGATGACAAGCTCTAAGTACGAAACAATAACCAATTGTCTATTTCTCATGTTGGTTCATCTTTTCTTCCTAATCTCAAATTGCCCAATGTGCTTATAGTTCCGAAACTAACCAAAATTATTCTTAGGTTCTCTAATTTAACTCAGGATAATAGTGTTTACATGGAATTATGGCCTAAACATTGTTATGTTAAGACTTTTCAGAGTCAAACAATCCTCCGAGGGGACGTTAATGATGGGATGTATCAGCTGCCTTATACCCGAGCCAAACCTCGTTCTATGGCTTTCACTGACATTCATACCTCTCTCCACGGATGACATAGACGGCTTGATCATCCACATGAACCTATTTTAAGGCATTTAGTTTCTTCATTTAATCTTCCTTTGTCATCAAATAAATTACCAACTGTTTGTGATTCATGTCAAATGGGAAAAAGCCATCATTTTCATCTTCCAAACACTCATGTCTTTTATTCTAAACCTTTTGAATTAGTGTGCTCAGATGTTTGGGGACCTTCCCTTGATTTTTCTTTGAATGTAAATGGATATTTTCTCTTATTTATTGATGATTGCACAAAGTTTGTATGGATTTCTTTTGCCTCAAACATCACAAGTATTCTCCATGTTTCAACAATTTCGTACCATGATCAAAACCCAATTTTCTTGTGATATAAAGAACTTACAAACAGATTGGGGTGGTGAATTTCGCAATGTCTCCAGTTTCCTTCACAATAATGGAATTGTTCATCATGTTTCTTGTCCATATACACAAGAACAAAACGGTGTCGTTGAACGTCACAATCGTATCATCATCGAAAAGGGATTAACACTCGTAGTGTAACATTCAAGTTTTGGTAAGTTTCCCTTTAAGTCCCTAATGTAAAATTTCTTTCAATTTGGTCCATTGGTTAGTACGCAGGGCGTACTCATTGAGTACGCTTAGCATACTAGCCACAGATTTGGTCGCGGAACTTAACCACGTGCAGTGGGCGTACGTGGAGTACGCATGGCGTACGTGTGTCTGGGATAAACCCTAGTTTTTAGGGGTTGCACCCTATTTAAGGACCTTAAGTCCCCCAAGTCCCTTACCTTTTCAACCACCATTTCCCTTGAAGTGCAAATCTCGAACCCTAAGCCACCGTTAGTGCATTTGTGAGCTTCCTTGAGAGTTTTTGGTGGCTCTTTAGAGTTTTGAAGAATAAGGGAGCTTGGGAAGAAGCAAGGACGTGGGAAGAGCTTGTAGATCCAGACGTTTGGCACCATTTCTGACCCATTGAAGGTATAAAGCTTAAACCTTGAACATTGCATGTTTAGATCTAGTTTTAGGGTAGAAAATGTCATCTTTTGGTCCCATAGTTTGGATTCTTGGAGTTAAGGAACTTCAGACCATATGAGCTGTCCTTTTGAGCTCTTAGAGGTGTTTTAAGTCATAAAAATCGGATCTTGATGGTTAAGCCTCAACCATGCAAGTGTTAGTGTGCTTATGGACTTGGTGCATGTTTTGAGCACCATCCTTGCATGAAAAAGCATAAAGTTTGCAACTTTATGGCTTAGGACATTCTTAGGAGTATGGATCTAAGTTTTGGACATTAGGTCTTAAGGGATTAAGTCATGGAAGTAAGAATGGGGTGGCAGACCAGTACGTCATGTGTACTTAAGTGTACGTTGTGTGTACTGGGTCAACGCCTCGACCTCTGGTCAACACCAGCGTACTATGGGCGTACAAGCCAAGTACGTCGCGTGTACGCAATTGGTGCGCTTGGAAGATTTTGGGCTCGTTTGATGTTAGGCTTTAGACTTGAGTAAGTTGGGAATCGGGCCCACCTAGGTGTATCAAGTCATTTTTGGGCCTAAGGCCATGTTTGGGGGTCATTGGGCCATATTGAGCCTTAGAGTCCCTATGGTGGGCTTGGATGCCTTTTTGGGTTTTTGTGGATTTGGTCCTTGGAGAGAAGGAGGCCCAATAAGGCAAAGGTGAAGGAGCTTTTTTGCCTTAAGTCAAGGATTAGGGTGTTAGACTTCGTGTTAGAATGTGACCTAATTTCTAATTAGGGTTTTGTGCTTGTGCGATGGGGAGAGGAGTTCGCGAGTCATCCGCTGAGTGCGATTTGATACCCACAGTCTGAGGTGAGTATTCCTTCACAGTAGTTGTGGGTCGAAGGCACTAATGCCAACCCATTAGTTTGTGTTATAACGTGATGATTGTCTTTGTGATAATTTCTAGTTATGTATGTATATGCTTGATGACTCTGTAATTATTGTTATGATATTATGTGGTAGTGGTAGGGGGTGAAATAGACTCGGTATCCGGTTGAAATAGACCGAAGGGGTAGGCCAGCACACAGCTATGCTTGGCAGTATCCGGTTGAGATAGACCGAAGGGGTAGGCCAGCACCCATATATGCTTGGCAGTATCCGGTTAAGATAGACCGAAAGGGATAGGCCAGCACCCAGATATGCTTGGCAGCATCCGGGTGAGATAGACCAAAGGGGTAGGCCAACACCCATATATGCTTGGAATTATGTTTGTTTATTATGTGGTATGTTGGAGGAACTCACTAAGCTTTGTGCTTACAGTTTATATTAATATATTTATGTGTTCCCTTTTTGTATGTTTTTGAACCATTTGCAGAATAATTAATTTATTCAAACATCCACAATCAGTCCTATTTATGGAAGTAAGTGGTGATTTAAGATTTTCATGAAGCATTGCTAGATTGTTCATTGAGATGAACATAGTATAGAGATTGCGACCAATACTAATGAGCACATGAAAATATATATTTTAAGTATTGGAGTAACCCGTATTTGGAGATTACTCCATGGATTATGTTATAAGTAATTCTAAGATGGAAATTGATGGGTTTTGAGCATAACATCATTCTTATGGTGTGCATGCAACCCTAATGCTTTGGATCTAGGTTTTCCTCACTTTGCACATGCAAACAATCTTCCAAAGCATAAACCCTAATCTAACATGTCTAAGAATGAAATTCATATGTACATAAGGGTTTGGAATCTTACATTACTTGTTATGTAGCAATAACAAGAACACCTTGAATATCCTTGACCTCTGAAAGCTTAGTGCCCCAAGTGTTGCACCTCTAATGGAGTCACAAACACTCAATGCAAATGATAAAGTAGGAGAGAGGAGATTTCGACCACTCTAGGGTTTCTTTAGCCCTTGGACGAAAATCCCTTGGTCATGGGGTCTATTTATACTTGTGGCTGCTAGAGTTTTAGGTGGAAACCCTAATATGTCTGCTTAAGCCTTAAGCAGCCCATTGACCACTTCTAGAATACACCTTGAACGAATTCTTTATGGGCTTCCCATATAATTCGTCTAATCTTATTCCAAGGTGATCCATCAGCCCAATTGCAACTATCAGTGATTTGCAATATCAGTCCCAAATTATCTAATCAATCTCTTTTGATCACTAAATTAATTCCAAAGTAATTTCTGATCAATACTAATTAAATAATATGATTTCCAAATAATATATTAATCTTGTAATATATTAATAAAAACATTTTGAGTACGAATTTATTATTCACGTAATAAATTCCACTCTCTCTCCTCTTGTTATCCTATCAAGTTGCATGAGTGAAGACAACCCAAAAGGACCATGCTCATAATCGGGTCAAGTACATACCAAGAATAGTTATGGGCTTAGACACCTAATCCAACAGTCTCCCACTTGGATAAGTCTAATAACTATTATTGCAAGTATGACTTCAAAACCTAATCAGCAATCATAGCTTTCAAAAGCCGCTGTCAACTCTGATCTTATCAGAAGCGCGTCCTTTAGATAAGGGATCATATATTCCTCCATTCTACAAGATATTGTATGAACTGAGACATGAATTTTAATCATTCTCTCTGTTCATGTGTTGTTTCCCGATTTCTGATATATGACGACTGACTAATTGAACAGATCAAATCAGTCCAGGCTTGGCCAAGCGCTTTGGGGTGTCATCACGAAATCATCGAGGGGCCCACAGATATCGCTTTTATCCAACTTGGGTAAAAGGAACGGATAAATGTCGACTCATATGCTTGCTCTATTTACTCCTCAAATTACACACAATAATACATTTTATAACACCAAGTTACTGGTGCGTTTACGTGTTATCAATGCGCAATCGACTTGTAAACTGCAACTCATATCTCTCCGTTTCAAGAATATAAGATATTATTGTCTCACAATCACTAGTGATAAAATCCATGAAGTGATTCACGTGAGCGTGGGTTTAATCCAATACTATAATCTTATTACATAAGTACTCATGAACTCTGCAACAAACTTGTGTTATGTTTAAACACTTTAGACAATCTACAGACAGATCCATGACAGTCTTGCCTCAATACCTACTTCCAACGTATGATCGACTGTGGATGTTCGAATAACCTAGTTATTCTGGAAGTCAAAACATACAAAGCGAAACATAAGAATAATCGAATCCAATATGGACTCAAACTTGTGAGTATAAATAAAACACTTATTATTTAATCACCATATTGATTACACATTATTCATTGTATAATGTTTCGAATAATCAACTTACTACTTGAATTAAAACACTAGTTGTCCCATGCTCCAAGCATGCACACTTTGTCTACATATGGTCCTTACTTTGTGAAATAAATCATCTGAACACATTACCAATGATACTCATTTCACAACTCCTAATCCTTATCATAAGTGTAAGAATACCGAATTCTTACCACTATCAGAATATGTTAGATTCTATCATTTTATGCAATGATCCTTTTGTAATGTCACAGCACCAAAGTCACCAAGACTTTGCCAATGAAATTACAAAGTGCTCTATTGGAGATTGTTACAAGACAACTCCATAGATATGAAGTCTCAAATTCAAAGTACATTCCTTTGAACATTCTTCTTGCATAAAAGTTTCTAATCTACATAGATTCTTAATATCCAACTCCCATTACGGAAACATTTCCATATTCACCATATGACAACTCATTCTTAATAGATTCCTATCTATTCATGCCAATATGTTCCATTCAATACCATACTTCCAACTGCTCACAAGCGACCAATCCTTAGCGAACCTCAGATTGTCCTTGACAGTTGTGTAATTATTTTAGTCATTTCTGGTTCTGGTCCTTTTTCCCTCTTAATGCCCTAGGCATTTGGAAAATCAAAACGGTCGAATGTTACAGCATATGCACTCGATCCTATAACCGAAGCGTATAGAACACGATTCATAATGTCTTACATAAAGACATGATACTTTACCAATCTCTTGCTATAATATTGTCATATATAGAATTCTCTTACGTTGAATCTTTTCAACATAACATTCATATATGTCCTTTGACTAAATTTGATTAAAATTTCTTGATCTAAGCTTTTAGAATTGAAATGAAGTATAAATTTCGCTCCCTTAATTATAGCAAAACAACTTTTAAACCTCTGCAACTTTGCGAATTGAAACTTTTGTTTCTATGATTAATATTGCTAACTTGC